CAGGCAATTGAGTCAACCAGAAAATTTGATAATCGCCAAAGTAAGATGGCATTGGCCAGCCCATTTATCAAAGCATTGGAAGAGGACACACTGCTTGCAATTGGGTCCAGGGAAAACACCAAGGAAGCTTGGATCATGTTTGAAAAACATGAATCTAGAGTTGCAGACTCAATGTGAAAGAAGTGGAGAGATCGCAGGACACTCTGGCGAGAGTTTGAGCATTGAAATGGAGAGGACTCAGAGAGTCATTGATGAGTACTCTGGGAAACTCACCATAATGTCAACAAGTTGAGAGGCCTTGCAATACTGTGGATAAAATCCAGGTAGTAAAAGAAACTCTTATCGATCCCACCTCGCAACAAATTTCTCAAATTAAGTGTCAACTATTGAGGAGCGTTCAGGTGATTCTCAAAAACAAAAGTCATCATGAGATCATTTGGAATCATCAAGGCTCATGAAGAAAGGTGCAAGGGTTGAGAAAAAAGAAGAAACTGGTACTCCACTCGTGCAAGAATGGAAGAATGGAAGGCACGAGAGAATGCAAAATCCTTTAAGAAAGAAGGAAAGGATCAAGGCAGTTCTAGAGGAGGCAGGGGACGCAGTCGTGGAAGAGGTAGAGGTCGTGGGCAAAGTGACTCACATCGTGGAGATGAAGGGGGGTCACAAACCCAGAAAAAGAAGTTTGACAAAAGTAAAATTAAATGCTACAATTGTCAACAAATGGGACACTTTGCATCGGAATGTTCTTCGAAAGATGAAAAACTCAATCTGACAGAGAAGCAGAAGGATGAGGAGTCTTCATTGCTGATGATAGAAACGTGTGAAATAATGAATACACGTGACAAGGAGCCAGACGGTGTTATGCTGAATGAAACCATAGTGCCGCCACCAGCAAACGTTGGAGCCGAAAATTCCTGGTACCTGGATACTGGAGCGAGCAACCACATGTCAGGAGAAAGGAAAGTGTTTCGTGAGCTTGACACATCAGTTGTTGGAAAGGTAAGATTTGGAGACTGATAGACATCTGTGGACGAGGGATAGTGCTTTTCAAATGCAAAACTGATGAGCATTTGATATTGTCGAGACATTTGATATTTGTCACAAAAGTCTATTACAACCTATCTCAAAAGCCAACATAATGAGTTTGGGACATACTTGATAGAGTGGAAATAAAACTGTCATAGAAGATGGCATTATGAAGATATATGACAGGGCCAGAAACTTGATCATTATGGTGAATAGACAGTCTAACAGATTGTACGTGGCAAAACTGAAGCTTGCGGAACAGGTGTGTTTGATGGCAAATATCAGTAATGATGGATGGCGTTGGCACGCAAGATATGGACATTTGAATTTTCATTCCTTAAAAAAATTAATTGACAGAAGAATGGTTGAAGGCTTGCCTAAGATAACCCAAGTCAATCAATTCTGCGATGGGTGTTTGATTGGAAAACAGCACAGAACTCCTTTTCCACAATCAGCAACATATCGTGCAAAGGAGCCATTGGATCTCGTCCATGGAGATTTATGTGGTCCTATCTCACCAGTCACTTGTGGAGGTAATAGTCACTTGTGGAGGTAATAAATATTTTATGTTATTGGTGGATGATTTTTCACGATTTATGTGGGTGTTTATGTTGAAGAACAAGAGTGAAGCACTGGTGATATTCAAAAGGTTCAAAGTCAGTGTGGAAGTTGAGAAAGGCAAGAAGGTTAAAAGTTTCAGAACTGATCATGGTGGAGAGTTTATGTCTGTCGCTTTCAAAGATTATTGTGAGAATGAAGGTATGAAGAGATTTTTTACTGCACCATTTTCACCGCAGCAAAATGGCGTAGTAGAAAGACGTAATCGAACAGTTGTTGAGATGGCCAGATGTATGTTAAAAAGCAAAGAAATGCCTGCAAAGTACTGGGGAGAAGCTGTTAGAACTGCCGTGTATATACTGAACAGGTCACCAACAAGAAGCTTGTTTAGAACTTGGCTCGTGCGTATATACTGAACAGGTCACCAAACAAAGCAGGAGGAGGCTCCAGTTCCATATACAAGCTTGGTTTCGTAGCAAGATACCGACAGGTTCACTCACTATTAGTAGACATCTTCGGGTGTCTATAGGCTCATTGTCAAGATACTATTTGCTCACTCTTCTAAACTTGCGACATACGCGTGAAGACTTGTTCTGTCTTGAGGTATCACAAGCATGGGACCAAAAAGGCTTCAGACTCTAAGATCAAAGAAGAACAGACTTATTCGTGAGCAGGGATGTGTCTTTCCGACTAGCAGAGAAGAAATGGTGTTGGAAGGAATGCAAATGACGAAGATGAGGCATGGACGGAACATTTACCGCTTCAATTTCAGAAAAACAGAGCAGAACAGAGGAGGAGAATTATGAACAAACTGAAGTTGATCGAGGTGAAAGACAAATAGAGAATTCGTCCTCAACCTCATCAACGCCAGCAGTACCTCAAAGGCGTCATCATCAAGCACTTTAACTCCTAAAAAATTCAGATCTTTAGAAGAGATTTACAAACAACTGAACGAAGCAGAGGAGGAAGCTAGCCTTTGTTTTCTTTCTATAGAGGAACCGACCTCATATGAGGAAGCCTCTAAGAATGAAAATTGGAGGGATGCCATGAAGTCTGAAATTTTGTCCATAGAGAAGAACAGAACGTGGGAACTTGTTGATTTGCCGAAGAATCATAGAGCAATCGGCATTAGATGGATTTTTAAACTGAAGAAAAATCCAGAAGGAAAAATAGTGAAGCATAAGCTGAGAAAATCCAGAAGGAAAAATAAGTGGGAACATAAGGCGAACCTCGTGGCGAAGGGTTCGCATACAGCAAGTATGGGTATAATTACAGCCGAAGTCTTTGCATGTGGCCAGATTAAAACTTGACGTTAAATTTTGGCTTTGTAGCAATCAAAACTGGGATACATCATCATGGATGTGAGACGCTTTTTGAATGGAGACTAGGAGGAGTGTGCTAAACGTAGCTCAGCCCAGAAGGGTTCGTCGCGAAGAAAATCCAAACAAGGACACTGAAAACTTCAGTTAAACGCCTGTATGGATTAATACATACAGCACCGAGGGACTGGAATTTTTAAACTTGATACAGTTTTGCAATCGATTGGTTTTATTAGATGCCCCACAGGAATCGATGCTCTCTACAAGAAAGATGAAGGTAGCTGAAGCTATGATAGTTGCGAACTTTGTGGACGATTTAATTAACCGGCTAAACAAACAGTTTATCTGCTCAAATTCAAACAGGGCGATGTCAGTCCTGAAATTTGAAATGAATGATTCTTGGGCTATTGAAGTTTATTATTTGGGCATAGCACCGCTCTGAGGCCACATGGAGGTCCATCACTCATATGCTCAGGCTGGGGTATGCCTCGAAAAATCCTAGAGAAGCTTAGGAATGGGGGAGTGCAAATACCTTGCTCCAATTCATGGACCAAGAAACGAAGATGAGTTAAATTATGGGAATGGAGACTGCTGTTGTGAAACACTATATTAAGAAGTGTTATAACCCGATCGGAGCTTCAACGATTATGTGTGCAATTAACCACTGCCTGACAATAGCCCTCTCGGCTTGGTGTCTAGTAGATATATTATATTGGACACGACGACAACGACTCATCATTCTCTCAACAGCTTGCCCTGAAGCAGAATTTGGAGGTATGGCCTGAGGTACTTCCAATGGTTTAGTCCCGACAATGTATTATTAGACAAGAAGCAGTCACAATATGGAGCTTAGTTGTGCCTTTTAGTGCGACAGTGACATGCGCACAGGAGATATATCGATGATAGAAAGAGTAGCAACTGGTGTTGCTGTTAGCTATGCTGGGAGCAAAATCTCTCATAATTTTGTGGTCGATCGCAGAGCGACAAGACTTGATTTGTTCTTTGCTCTTACCTCTATGTGAGGCCGAGTATAACTAGTGCTGAATCAGTTGGAGCATGCTCCACACCGGTGATGGTTGGCAATGATTCATTGAGTGAACTACTAATCCAACACCCATGTCAACGTACTTCAATGTTATCTGAAAGCCATGGCTTAATAGTTGACCAATAATAGCTTCCAGCATATTGCCCCGTTGCACGCGAAGAACTCTGTTTTCTACCACGACTCGAAGTAACACATTGATACAGGTTTCAATTCTTATATCGTCCATGTGTGCAAGCACTGCACAGCTTATTGCACGTTTTATCGACAGATCATGGTGTGCGAAAACAGATGGAACACGCTTGGCACGTACCCACTACTCCCTTGACAAAATACCCTCTTGCCCCACCGCCCACATCGTTTACTAGAGTTATAACGGGAGACAGATTGCATGTGTACAAGAAAGTTGCTTCATGTCACACAGAAACACAAGTTTAGGGGAGCTGAAATTACTACAGTTGCTTAAACCCCCCCTCTATTCTTTTTATTTCTTAGTTTGCTTGTCATAACCTTCAGCTGAAATTGTAGCTGTAAGCCATCTTAAGTTTTCTCAGTTGTTTCTATTCTCTCACCATATAAAATGACCAGGACTAGTTAGTACATACCTGTTCCGAAATTGCCACCTCTATCTGTGATTTTTAGCACGAAGGGTGCGCTCTCTACAGTGGCAACTGTAATCTGCTCTCAGCCTGACTCATGTCCATCGCCAGGAGACTTTGTTATCTTTCACTTATCAACATAAGAATAAACGGTTCGTTGTCGTCTAGCTACTCCTGTAACGCATCCCTCAAACATTAATGATTGTTATACTCCTTCCTGCGGTGGTCTGCTGCTTCTTCTTCATTCTTCTGTAATCCTGCCTGTCCCTTGCCTTTAACACACTCCACTAAATCCAACATAATCCACCGCGGTGGATTCATGATCTGCTTCGCTCCCCTTAATAGAAATCTATGCACCGATTAGTCCCATCCGCAATGATACTCCTCCTCCTGTACTTTATCTATTCTCTCAACCTATTTTCCTCATAACCTCTATATGCAACTCAAAACAGGGTTTTATGTTTCTCTAAAACCCATTGTTGTCCAAGGTTTTAGACACTTACCCCACATTCCCCTGCATATTTGTCATAGTAAAAGTTTATATTGGATTTTCATACGATTCATTGAACTTATATATCTTGTAGATTGTTTTAAAGGATATTCACATTTTCAGTTATTCTGCTTATACAACTTTATATGGATGTATGAAGTTTTTTCGGATTATATTTTACGTATATATACTTTCTTATGTTCATTTATGGATGCATCTGTGCATGGAAGTAAAAGTGTATGCATTTTATGCATTGTAAAAGGTGAGCCCCCATCAGCCTTTACGGTATTAAAAGGGGCTTTAGATGGGAATGGACCCGTTCTCACTAGAACCTTTGGCAATGAGAAAATTAATATCTCTGTAATGCGCTTGGCCAATATCATTTCTGGAAGCGGAGGGGAGGATGATGACGATGACATAAACCAGTTGTTCCTTCACGTGGATGTGTCAAAGCCTGGACAGGAAAAATCTTTGCAGTTTCTATGCGGGCAATATCCAGATGCATTGGGAATTCATTCTGTTTCATTGAGACAGAAGGCTGATGACCCGGAGTTTCCATCTGCATATAATGGCCCTCTTTTTGAGTGAGTTTGGTTCTTGTTACCCTTTATTAATTGACAGTGGGCTAATTTTTAATAATTGTTTCTTATGGAATATTGAACTTAGTAATGTGTATGATGATTGAAAAAGGATTGACTTCTTTCGTACATGGATGATACAAGTCTTATTGAAACTCCTAGTGAAACAACACTGATTCAGGGCATTATAATTCATATAGAGAATTCTAGCGTGTTAGCTTTATGTCGAAATTATAAAAATGATTCACAAGGAATATGAAAATTTCACAGAGATGGAGAGTATATAAAGTATATTAATATAGTTATCCTTATAAATTTTGTACTGTTCTCAACTTCTCATGCATGGGAAAGAAAGAAACTAAATTTATATTTGTAGCGGAACTGTGCTGTGATCACATGGTTATAAATTCCTTATGTTTGATCTGCAGAACAAATATAAGATACAAACATTATGATATTGTATTTGATTCTGCAGCACATACATTATCCTATTATTTTGTCTTCTGCTATTGATTTAGTAGTATTCTCCTGCAATGGAATAGGAACGCATGCCTGCTTGCAATTCTAACTCCATGAGGTACCTATGTTAGTGCACTTTGAGAGCAGTTCAGTCTTCAACAACATGGAGTTTTATCTTCGGAAAAAAAAAAGGAACTACACTATAGCATTTTGATTATTAATTAAATTTGCTCCCTTTTTGTGGAGTTACATCTTTTGCTAAGCTTTTACATTTGATTTAACAGGACTAGATATCATATTTTTGTATTGATTTGAAAGTGTTGGTTTCTCGCCATGTATTCTAACTTATGAATGTCTTAGGTTATTAGATGGATAGTGATTATTTATTACAACATTGTATCACAAGGTTCTATGAGAATAGCAAATGGTAGTGATATTTTGCCATCACAGTTGTACGTGAGCTTGTTTTTTTGTGTAATGGCAATAGATTGAGATTCTCATAGCTCAAGGAGCAAAATCTTAAGGTCGATGTGCTCCTGCGTAGTTGTTATTTTTGTTCTGTACATATTATTTGTTATTTTTGTTCTGTACATATTATTGAAATAACCTTGAGCTTTAGGGGCAGGACTAGGGACATGATTCACCCAAATCAATTGGTTACTTGGAGAAATTGTATATTATTCCACCTGTTATGGAGGCTTGGTCTTATTTAATGTCATTTGGCCCTGGTTTTCATTTCAAATAACAAAATTTTAGAACTTTCAATAGCATATGTAGGTTTTGGAATTGGATCTGTAGCTTTTGTGCAATAGCACAATATGCTCCAATTCGAGCTATAGGTTAGACAAATTGCATGATGAATTTTTGATTCCTTCTTATACTATAAGTTTTTGCAATATCTGCACTTTGCACTTTCCATTTAAGCTCCAGCATCTCTTAGCGGTTGAGTACCCTAGCAATCCCTCCATCTTTAATTAATTAACTTCATTTTATATTTATTTCAGTTGTTTTTCGCTTACCTTAAATTCCTTGCATAAGGAGGGCTGTGCAAGAAGACAGTATAAATGAAAAAGTGGTTTTGTTATGAGACAATTTTATCTTGTTTCTGTACTACTACCAGGATTAGTAATTGTCTTAATTATGTCAAGGTGAAAGTGTTATATGGTTGTTTTGATATTGTGAATTGAACCTTGGGAAAATCACATTCCGAAACTTCGAATTTGAGGTTGGGGAGTCAATTCCCCCACATTGAAATCCTATGCTTTTAGAACTGACATTTGACTTCTCTGACTTCTCTGAGTCCCAAAACCATCCAACTAGGATTTGACGTTGGGGACTTCTCAGATCTAAGTCCCAAAACCTTCCAACTGGGATCATAACATGTTGACTTCTCCGAGTCAAAGAAACATGCGAGGAGATGAGATTCCATCATTTTAGAACTGACTTTTCCATTAAATTTAGATACCAAAAATAATGATTTTATACGGTGAAAGATAAATAATTGAATTGCCCTGTGAAAATTAGAGTCTTTGTGTATACAAATTTGGCAAGTTATTGGCCTTCTAAACCAGATTTTTAGTCTAAATATAAGGTAATAATGCAATACATATGCAATTAGTTGAAAAGGGTTAATAAATTTGCTAGTAGGGGTTGTCTAGATATTGCATTTGTATAATCTGGCTCAAGTTGTAGTTTTGGTCTGAAGCAGGAGGATTAATTAATGATAGAATCAATGTCTCGGTTTAGAGATTGATGATGCACTTTAAGTAAGCTTATAAGGTTTCATAGTGTAAACCCTGCAGGTGGATTTTGAATCCGACACATGAAATAATTGAGCGACAATCTTAAAGTTATATTGTGATTTAAATAAATTGTCAGTAAGTTATTTAAATGACAGCATCTAGTTATTTAAATGACAGCATCTGTCATCTTTAACGGGGAACATTATTTTTATTATGTTGTGGATTGTAAAATAAATTAGGAGTTCAGTCATGAAGTTTTTAGTGGAGTGGAATAATTCATGATTAATTATAATAAGAATATGTTGGTCTACATAGGTTATTATTATAATTAGTAGCCTGATTTATTTTATTCCTGAGGTCCCTGTAGTGCCCTAATTATTTGGAAAGTTAAGGGTGTATTAAATAATAGATAAATTATTCAGTTTTAAAATAATTGATAATTATTTTAATTAAATAATTTTTTATTTAATTTATTTTATATTAAAAAAAAATATCTTTCTATCGAAGAGAGTTTTTTTTAATATAAGATTTGAAAACCCTAAGAATAGAGAGACGCACGTTATTCTATTCTCTGCCACTCAGAGAGATAGTTAGGGATTAAGAGATAGTTAGGGATTACTTGCAGAAAGATCGTGGGTGGACTCCAAGATCTCTGGAAAGACGACCGCTGAGACGATTCCTGCGCTTCAAGATGTCAGTTTATTGATTTGTTCGATAATGTTTTTAAAGTTTGCCTCATAGGTTTCGATGAGGGTTGTTTCCGCTTTAATCCCGCTCCATCAATTGGATCAGAGCATAACAACTGTTGATGGTGGCTATTTTGCATGTTTTCAATCGTGTATCTATAGATTGTTTTGATTGTTTGATTGGTACATGGTTACAAGAGCTTCAAGAGTTTTTGAACGACAGCAGCACAAAAGTGCAGTACCTGATACAACTTTTGTTTTTGAAACAGTGGTTTTTAATGGGCATTAATATAAAAAAATAAAAAATAAAAAATGGAGGTTGAAGGGAAAAAAAAAGGGGCAGCGGCGGCTAGGGCTTCTTCGTGAAGAAGAAGCTGCTGTTTGAAAAACAATTCCCGTCTGGTCCCTCAATTTTTTAAATTTTATATTTTTGACCCCTGATCTTTTAGTTTTTAATTTTGACCCAGAAAGTATCAGTTATTCCGTTTTGGCCCCCTGGAGTTATTTAAATTATAAAGTGACCCTGATTGTTTTTGGTTTTATTAAAATTGCCTAGACTGCAAGGCGGTAATGGATGGTTGATGGAAAAAGAGGCAGCGGCGGCTGGCTTCTTCGTGGAAAGGGAAGAAGCTGCTGCTTGCCAAAATTCCCGTCTGGTTCCCTCAATTTTTAAATTTTTATTATTTTGACCCCCGATCTTTAAAGTTTTTTTAATTTTTATTTTTTTGTTGACCCTGAATCTTTTCTGTTTATTATATTATTAACCCCTGGACTTTAATTTTTTTTGTTAAAGATTTTGACCCGAGAAGGAAAGTATTCAAGTGTATTCCGTTTTGGGCCCCCCTGGGTTATTTTAAATTATTTAAAGTTGACCCTGATTGGTTCTGGTTTTATTAAAATTGCCTTAGTACTATTTTCGAGTTTTTGCAATTTTTTGCCCCAATCAGTTTCTGTTTTTATGCAAAAATAGTGGCGCAGAGACGAGGAGTTTTTGAAATTTTGCGAAATGGCCCAGGAATTTTTCTATTTTTGGCAAGATAAAAAAACCCAGAAGTTTTAATTTTTTTTGCATAAATAGACCAGAAAACCACTAAATTTTTAAACATTTTGCAACCAAAAAATGTTAAGTTTTATTAGAAAATTGTCTTTAAAAATATATGTATTTTGGCAATTTTTGATGTGGATGGAGTGGTGTAATGGTATTTTAATTATGGATGAAGTTAATTGTGAGTGGTTTTTTTATTACTTTTCTAGTTTTAAATTATTTGCATTTTCTTTCCCATCGGAAGATGTTCATGTTTTTAAATATAATAACTGAAAACTAGTCAGATTTGTCTGTATTTGAATTTAACTCTCCATCTTGAGTAAATTAATTAGTGACATGAATCAGATGTAATATTTTCTCCACAACATTTAAATGCTTAATTTAAGAGGGCATGTTTATCTCCATCAAGTTAGTATGTGCCGGTCTTATCTTATATTAATATGCAAAAACATTTGTGATTGGGTTGGATTCTCCTATCGACGGTTCCTATTTCCATGAATTGTTGTGAATGTGTATTTTTTTTTTTTTATTTTGAATTGTGATATCAATGTTGTATATTTGCAATTTTGATTTATTTTTCAATGTTTATATTGATATTGCTATTTTGTTTAATTGCATGATATAGAGAATGCATCAATTCATCCCCTTGCAAAAATCTTAACCCAAAAACAAAACTGAGGGTCCAACTATGTTGACTGGAAGGGGGAATTTTGGACATTTTGCTTAACTGGCTGAGGAGTATAAGTTTTGTTTGCTTACTGAAGTTTGTCCTGAAAAAAACCCGGTGAGGTGCCTCTGAGAGAGGTCAAAAACCCGGTGAGGGTGCCTCTGAGGAGGTCACCAGAGCTTACCAGAAATGGGTTAAAGCTGATGAGATGGCGCGATGTTACATTTTGGCTTCTGTGCCAAATGTTTTGCAACATCAGCATCAGACGATGGACACAGCTTTTGACATGCTCGAAAATCTCAAGGAGATGTTTGGAGATCAAACTAGTGCAGCAAGGCAAAACGCACTGAGGGAGATTCTTACTTCCAAAATGGAGGAGGGGACCCCAGTTAGAACTCATGTCTTGAAGATGATGAGTCTTCTGAATAACATGGAGGTTCTTGGTGCTGAGGTTGACAATGCTACACAGATAGAAATGATCTTGAACACTTTGCCAGCCAGTTTTCAGCAGTTTCGTTTGATTTGAACTATAACATGGAATAAGATGGATTCGCGTCTGTCTAAGTTGCTGAATGAAGTGGGGCTGTTGAGGGACTATGCGAGGGTAGAGGCGGAAGGAGCTGCCACCTGTTGTGCTTAATGTTTGAGCGAGTTCTCTTCTGGCCCCAGAACAAGGCGGTAAGAAGGAAAGAAAAAATGCTCACAAGGCTAAGCCTTAAAAACAAGTGCTGCAATTACTAGTAATGTGTTGGGTTGTTGAAAAAGCCTAAAGGCTAAGTGTTTCACTGCAGCAACCTGGGCACTGGGAAGTCACGAATGTCCAGAACATGGTTAGCCAAGGAAAGAAGCTAAGTATTGTTCTCTGTTTTATATGCTGATAGTGAAGACTTGTTTAGCGGTGGTTTGACTTACACTCCATGGTGTTAGATTCTGGAGCCCACTAATTCATCGTCTTTGTAATTTCATTTGCGAGAGTGTGTGCGAGAGGGTAATCTGTCAGAAGATGAAAGGAGGATGTAAGGCATTTTTCTGGAAAGAAT